ACATTCTTACCTGCTTGATCCATCTTTGTGTACTTGAGAATATGTAAAACATAGTACCCACTGGTCTTTGTTAATGGAGTCAAGCATAATAGAGACTAAGATATTCATCATTTCTTTACTAACCTGTTGAATTTCTTTTGTAGAGGACAAAGGGTTTTAGCACTGTTAAAAATGAGTGGAAAGTTGACAGCACCTTTTTTTTTTTATAACAGTTTATTTTGACAGCACCTTTTTTATTCAAAAAAAATGTTTAAAGATTTATGCACACAAGAACTGGGGTATAAGCCAGAGGTGTGGGGTGTGAGAGGTTTCACAGAGCAGGCAGATATACTGAAATACACTGCTGAGGGGAGCAAGGGGATGGTCAGGAGAGGTCTTCCATGCCATGTGGGTCACCTAAGTGGCTGGGGATCAAACTTGTGCTGCAGTGGCTGTGATAGCTTCATAGTGCCATCCTTTAGCCCCTTGCGCCACCAGGGAGGGCCCTGACAGCACTTTTTAAATGATCATTCTTTCCTAATTATTTCACTAGAGCTGCTCATAGCCTCTTCAGCCCTCCAATAGCAACATATTCCATTCCCTATTGTTAGACCATATATTTTTTTTTGAAGATTTATTTATTTATTTGTACAGAATTGGGGTACAGGCCAGAGATGAGGAGGGTGAGAGGATTCACCAGAGACAGAGCAGGGAGCAGAACAGGCAGATCGACGAAGTACACTGCTGAGGGGAGCAGCGGGCGGGTCAGGAGAGGTCTGCCGCACCATGTGACTCTTCTCTAGAGCAGGCGGGAATCGAACTCATGCAGAATTGGCTTAAGCTTCTTTGTGCTGTGCTTTAACCCACTGCGCCACCAGGGAAGGCCAGACCATATATTTTTTTAAGATTTATTTTATTTATTTATGCATACAAGAACTGGGTTGCAGACCAGAGGATCCGGGAAATGAGAGGATTCACCACAGACAAAGCGGGAGCATAACAGGCAGAGGGGAGCAGCAGGTGAGACAGGAGAGGTCTGCTGCAACATGTGTGTAGCTCTCTAGCCAGGGATGGAACTCATGCTGCAGGTAGCTTCATAGTGCTGAGACTGCCACCAAGGAAGCCCTGTTAGATCATACTTTCTGAAGTTATCCTTAACTTTACTTCCAAAGCTAGCTTCTCTGCTTAAATTTAGCCTACTCATTTAGCTCCTATCTGCTTCAAAACCTCTTAGTGGATTTAGTAATTCCTTGAGGATTTAAAGTTTCTTTAGTGAACCCACTAGAGGTCACTGTTTTTTCACAAAGAATATTTTGTTTAACATGCTAACCCCAATTCTCCAATTCAGTATTTTTTTAAAAACCTTGTCTAGCTGTTGCTCATATAAATTCTACAGAAATGTGATAATGAAAATTAAGTTTGTTCACATATGCTATGGCACATAACATTCAGAATCTGTCTTTTAAGGAAAAAAATTAGTATTAATGCAGAGGTTTTTATTAGCTTAAAGTAAGTATTCATAATAAGTAATAAATTGCATCATTGTAATTTTAATAACTATAGTTTTTAAATAAGAATTTTAAAATCCACTCATATAATTAGATGTTTTATTGTAGTAACTTTTAAAATATTTGACCACTGTATAAATGCATTTTACAATATGGTCCAAACATATATAACTGAAACAAAAGTTTTTATGAAATTTCTTATTCTCAATACATGAAAAGCTTTAAATATTTTCTACTTTTTGTTGTTGTTGTTTAGTTCTGGTAGTGGCCCACTTAATTGGTTAGTTCTGGTTTGCAATTTTAAGAACACTGATTTGTTGATTCTAACTCAGATTTTAGTTGTTTTATTGCAGGAAAGTTTGTTGTCCACAATAAAACTCAGTCTCCTCATTTGTAAAGTATAAAATAGCATTTAACTTCTTAATTCTCTTTAGTTCTAATGTTTTTCATTTCTCAGTCACTGCTACTGTTGTGAAAATTTTTTAGATAAATGTTTTACTTATAAAAATGGTAAAAATTAAAATTTAATATGAAACTAGGGAAATTTAAATTCCTTATTGGGAAGTCTGTTTCATTTAAGAATTTAATAGAAAAGTTACTAAATAAAGATGTAGGCTGATAAAAGATCAAATGAAGGCTGATAAAAGATCAGATTAAAGTTTTTAAATTATGAAAAGCCAGGAATATTTTATATTGTGTGTGGGACAACTTGAAGTTGACATCTTCAGGCACACCATTTGAAAATAATTGAATTTTGAAATTGATTCAGTTTGGTCTTCTTTTAATGTTATGAATCTGATAGAGATCACTTGGTTCTGAAAATACTACAACCTATTGTGTGTCCCTTAAAATTTGTAAGATACTATCTTCCACCACAGCAAGCTCACTACCTCATTGTTACAAATACGTAGATTTAAGAAAAGTTTAGACAAGTTTATGAATTCTACTTCCATACTTCTGTCAAAGCTTTAGTCAAAAAAGGCCTCAATGGTTTCCTAGTCCCTCGTTTTTGTTAAGGCATAAAACAATATCTGGCATCCTATCAGAGTCAAATCAATGACCTAAATGGCCTGAACTGTGACGCATTATGATGTTTCTCATTGTGAGTTAGAAATTTCCCCCCATTTGTTAACCAGAAATAGACCACATATAGTTTTGTTGCTGAGACATTGCTCCTTTAGATAGTCAAATAATTATATTTATAAATCCTGTTTGGCTGACTGTCAACTCCAAGAAGTCTTTGAAGAAGGAAAGTCATGAATCTGTAACCTACAAAATCAGGAGTTAAGGAAGGAGGAAGGACAAATGTTTAAATAAAAACTATGATTTAAAAGATCAAATTCAGGTGAATGGTTAATGCTGACAGAGCTAAAAGCGCCATCATGTGGCCCAGAGTAGGGGATTTTCACACATGCTTCTTGGCAATAAACAGTAGAATCTCAGAGGTGCGGAAGCCAAAAACCTCTGCAGAACAACTTCAATAACCTCTTCCTGAACAGTCACCTCAGTTGCTTGGCATAAAGAATAGAAACTTTCTGAAGCAGGTTATATTCTGCATGCCTTAAATTATATTTGAAAAATTTCTACCACAAGGGAAACTAATCTGATGCTTTCTGTTAGTTTACATGTAATACACTTTAAGCAACATATATACATGCATACTAATACAGGTAAATACACACACAAGTTTTTTTGGCATTTCGGTTTACTAAAGCTACAATTAATAGACCAATTTGTATTTTTATGAAAATGTGAAGAACCAGTTTGAGTTTTTGTGAAGTTATGTTTTAACTAAGGTTATTACTTATTTTTGTTTTTAAAATTGAGTTTATGTTATTGAGAATTATCACTAGGGCAACATCAGCTTTGAAGTAAATGCAAAATACGTAGAGCAGAGTTAGGACATCTTTTAAAAATATATTTATGCATAGAGAACTGGGGTATAGGTCAGAGGTGCAGGGGCGGTGAGAGGATTCACCAGAGAGTGGTGAGCACAACAGGTAGATCAGTACACTGCTGAGGGAAGCAGCGGGTGGGTCAGGAGAGGTCTGCTGGGTCAAGTGGTCACCTCTGGGGTGGGGGTCGAACTGGCACTGAAGCGGCTGCACCTAGCTCGCATTGCTGCACTTTGACCTGCTGCACCACCAGGGAGGGCCAAGTTGTGGCATTTTTACTTAAAAGCTTTTGAATTTTACTTAAAGGATAGAAAATAAAGAACAACATGACTTAATGTCTTATCCTTTCTCAAACACATAGTAAAAACATTCTGCAATTTAATATTGACCCTTTCAACTAATGCCTTATATTCATATCTAGTTTTAGTGTCAGGTACCAGTCTCCATCTCATAGCTTGGGAATCAAGGAGGGTATTCAGGACACTCATGAAATACGTAGAGACACTGTTCATTGTTGTTTTCCTTACCTTCTTTACTTAAAATCAGAAAAATGAAACAAAGGAGAGGAAAACAGTAATTTGTATAGTATATTGATTTTCCTAGGAGAGGGTTAAACCAAAGATGGTATCCTCATAACTTCTGTTTTTCTTTTTTGTGTGTGTAGAAGAGGTAGGGTGTAGGCCAGAGGTATGTGTGTGTCAGGGAGCTGGATAGGTGAGAGGTAGCACCAGAGACAGAGTGGGGAGCAAAGCAGGCAGATTGACTGAAATACACTGCTAAGGGGAGCAGTAGGTCAGACAAGAGAGGTTTGCTGTGGGTTCGCTCCCTAACCAGAGATTGAACTCAGGCCACTGCAGTGATCACACTGAGATGAGTTTAGGCTACCCAGGAGGCCCCGAAAGAACTTGGACTTTGAAAGACCTAAGTTTACATCATAGATTTACTGCTTGTTAGCTGTAGTAACCTTAGGATGTCAGTTGGCTTTTCTGTGTTCAGCTTCTCGCCATAAAAATAAGTTACCTGAGGAATAAATGAAGTAAAATTTAAAAAGTACCTAGCAGAAAGTATAGGAAGATGAAAAAAGTTCAGGAGATGGCTTAATGTCACTGCACTGTAGTGGAAAATGGCTTAGATGGTAAATTTTATGTTTGGGTGTTTATTACACAATTTTTAAAAAGCCCACTTGGTATATGGTAGGCAATACACTTATTTTCCCCTTGGATTCTTTAGAGATTCAGTTTTCTTTTTTAAGTCTTAATGTTTTTCTCAAATACTCCAAGTTTTCAGCAATTTCTCATAAAACTGCCTTGGATTATATTCAAGACTTAGACTAATGCTAACATTGATTACTCCTTGACTGAGTTACGTTTAAACTTCATTTTTTTTTTAACTTGATTCTTATTTGGAACTATTTTGTCTCCAAGATCTTTAAATACGAGCTTCCCGTCTCTGACCACAGGCTCTATCTCATCTACAGTTACTACTCCTGCGTGTGCTTTGTGACCTCATTTTGACCTCCTCTCTACCTTAGCTCTATTCTTCTAGATTTGCAGACCCTCATTACATTTGTTTTCTTGAAGTCTGCATTCAGAAGTTACAGTATTGTTCTCTCAAATAATCCCAGATTCTTTCTTCCATAATCTTTTATCATATTTACCTTCCCACATTTGTCATCTTTTTTTTTCTATGCTTTTGCTGATATTATTGAGTAAAGTTGTCAAGTGAGACCATTAGCATTTTAGCTAAACTTTCATTTAAGCCAGTCTCTATAGCATCCCTAGGAAAATATTTTACTCAGACAGTGGAAGTAAGGCTCAGGCTTAGTTTTAGTGAGTTACCCACTGAAAACTTGGTGTGTGTGTTGGCGGGGGGAGGGTGGAAGGAAAAATAAGAACTCTTGAAAAACATCCATTTATCAGTCCCATGATAACTGGTGATGTTAGCAAGAGCCGTTTTCAGTAGAGTGTAATACACACAGGTTCCAGGAGGCAGTGGGTTGATGACTGAATAGGAGATACGGAATTGAAAAATGACAAATGCAGATTTCTTTAAAGAAGCCTTACAAGAAAAGGAGAAAGGACTGTATACATGAAAAGGTCCAACTGAATCTGAAGCTTTTCTTCATTGCTCAGCTTCTCTAATTTCCTGTAACAGCTCTCTCATGATATGTACCACACAATTTTGCATTCTATGATGCAACAGTATAGTTCTTATGACCCATACTGTCTAATAGAATTACTGGCTTTTCCACTTACTAGCTGGGTGACTTTCAACGATTTACTTACTCTGAGTATTCAAGTGTTTTTGTCTGTAACACAGCGATCATAAAGTATATCATATTTATGAGGATTAAGTTTGTAAAACTTTTTTGGACCACACGTTTTTTTCACACTAAATAGTATGATCCCTTGAGAATAGGAACCTATTTTTTTCTATTATTTAATGCACAAACATAATCCACACATACACTGTACTAGTACAAAATTACATTTTTTTTTTAAGATTTATTTATTTGTACATACAGAACTGGGGTACAGGCCAGAGGCTCAGGGGTGGCGAGAGGTTTCACCAGAGACAGAGTAGAGAGCAGAACAGGCAGATCGACAAAGTACACTGCTGACGGGAGCAGCGGGCGGGTCAGGAGAGGTCTGCCACCCCATGTGGTCACTTCCGAGACAGGCGTGAATTGAACTCATGCAGAAGTGGCTTTAGCTTCTCAGTGCTGTGCTTTAACCCGCTGCACCACCAGGGAGGACCCAGAATTACATTTTTGAAAGAATTTGTTGGATCACAGTACATATTCTTATGCTTGTGGATTAACCATTGAGTGTAAGAATCCAGCTGAGATTCATGTATCTACACACTTCCTCCTCTACAGTGATACTCAGACCCTGGTGTAGAACCAAATAATAGGCAGCACTGAACTCTGATAATTTAGGCGAAAAGACTTAGGTGGGAATGTGGTTTAGGATAACTACAAGTGGAAGTGGTAGGGTAGAAGTAGGCAACAAGCATAAAACACTTTGTTGTAAAAGTAGCAATTATTGGCCCTCCTGGTGGCACAGCAGGTTAAATCACAGCACTAAGAAGCTAATGCCACTTCAGCATGAGTTCTATTCCCACCCGCCCTGGAGGTGATTCACATGGTGCGGCAGACCTCTCCTGACCTGTCAGAGCTGCTCCCCTCAGCAGTGTATTTCCTCAGTCGGCCTGTTCTTCACCCCACTGTCTCTGGTGAATCCTCTCACCGCCCCTGCACCTCTGGCCTGTACCCTAATTCTGTATGCATAAATACTCTTTTTAAGTAAGCAATTATTTAGGCCAAAAAAGTTTAATGGGAGTTATAATTATCCCCTGGAACAATCAAGACTAATCACCAAGTGATGCAATGTCATTTGTTTTCTTTGAGCAACAGCAAACCAAAATAGCATCTATGACTAGAATTTTAACAAGTGGGAAGAAGTACGGTAAACAGAATAAGTGGGATTATTGAGCAAGGATATCCCTTGATTAACTGAAGGACTAAAAAAGAAAAGAAATGATTAAATTTTTGCTCTCATGCAACTTTCCATTGCATTATTTTGTTTTTTCCTTCAAAATAATTTGTTGGTCTTGGAAATTCATGAAACTGAAACAACAGGGAAGTCTTTCAAGTTAGGATAACAAATACTGGTATAATTGTATCTGCTTCCTGATATGTGATATTGAGAAAGACTTTAATGGGAAAGAAGACCTTAATCAGTTAACAGTGCCTCCCAGAGCTAAGGAGAAGATTGGCAGGAGAGTCACACTGTGCAGTACCATGTGTACTTGAGACTGAACAAAAGATGAATGGACTATATAGGCAGTAGTTGTCTATGGTTGATACAGTGATGTATAGTTAGATAGAAAAGTGTTACCATGCTGGCATTTTGACAGCCTTTAAATGTCCTCACTCACTACTGGTTTCATCTATCCATTTAGCTTGACTTTTTAAAATTGAAAAACGTTTTCCGACGACATGGTCTTCACTACAGTCCTTTTATGTTCAGTGCCTTAGCTTCTTTTTAGTGCATACCTAGTGCTATGTTTACTTTTTAAATTTATTCATAGGTTTTATTTTTTGAAGCAGTTTTGGATTTCCATTAAAATGGAAAGGAAAACAGAAATTTCCTACATATTCCCACAATTGCATAACCTCCCCCCATTATCAACATCTTCTGCCAAAATGGTACATTTGTTTGAGTTGAGCCTACCTTAACACACCATCACCAAAAGTCTGTAGTTTACATTAAGGTTCACTTTTGGTGTTTTATGTTCTGTAGGGTTTGATAAAATAATGATTTGCATCTAGCATTACTCTATTATACAGAACAGTTTTACAGCACTAAAAAATCCTCTGTACTCAGGTATTTCCCTCTCCATAACTCCTGAATGTTTTACTGTGTCCATAATTTTACCACATCTTGGTTCCTTCCAAGTTTTGGCAGTTATGAATAAAGCTGCTACAAACATCCATGTGCAGGTTTTTGTTTGGACATAGTTTTTCAGCTCTTATGAATAAATACCATATAGCGCAATTTCTGCATTATAGGTAAGTGTGTGTTTTGTGAGAAATCATCAACCTGCCCTCCCAGGTGGCTATACCATTAAGTGCTCACACAAACATTGAGCATACCTGTGGCTCATCACCCTCACCAGTATTTGATAATGTCAGTGTTAGGGATTTTGGCCAATCTGATAGGCATATAGTTTTAAAGATGTTTTGTTGTTTTAATTTGCATTTTTTGACCACATGTGTGGTGGAACATCTTTTCGTGTGGTCCTTAGTAGTCTAGTGGCTAGGAACATTTTCATATACTTATTTGCCATCAGTATATTTTCTTTGGTAAGATGTCAAAATCTTTGACCCATGTCTCAGTCTGCTATAATAAAATACCACAAACTGGGTGGCTTATAAACAAGAATTTCTTTCTTACAGTCATGAAGGCTAGGAGTATGAGATTAGGATGCTTTTATATCTGGGATCCACATCTGGGTTGTGGACTTAGAACTGTAACTTAACTTGGTAGACTGAGGAGGGGTCTCTTTAATCAAGATACTAACTCCATTCATGAGGACCTAATCACCTCCAAAGGAGGCCCTACCTCCAGATACATCTTAAGATACTGGAAATTTGGATGTAGCAAATAGATACTGGGGGAGGACACAAGTATTCAGATCTATAGAGTAGATATTTTTAATTTTAATGAAGTCCAATTTAACAGTTCTTTCATTGATTATGCTTTTGGTGTTACATCTACAGTCATCTAGGTTTCCTCTGTTATCTTCTAGGAGTTTTATAAGTTTTGCATTTTGATCCATTTAAAATTAGTTTTTGTGAAGAATAAAAAGTCAGTGTCTAAATTGATGTTTTTGCATGTTAATGTGTAGTTGTTCCAGCACTATTTTTTTCATGAATTATTTTGCTCCTTTGTCAGAGATCAGTTGATTATATTCATGTGGATCTATTTCTGGGCTTGTTATCATATTCCATTGATCTATCGATCTTTCTAGTACCACAGTATAATATTCTAATTACTGTAATTTTATAGTAAGTCTTAAAGTCAGAAAGTACCAGTCCTCCAACTTTGTTTCTTCAATACTCTGTTTGCTATTTTGGGTCTTTTGCCTCTCCATAAAAATTTTAGAATCAGTTTTTTAGTAGCCACAAAATGACTTGTAGGGATTTTGACTGGAATTGAATAAAACCGTAGGTTAAGTTAAGAAGAATTGACATTTTAACACTCTAGTCTTCCAATCCATGAACGTGAATACTATTCCATTTATTTACTTCCTTTTTGTATCTGTTTTGTAGTCTTTAGAAGGTACTTTATGTGAGTCACTTCACAAATGTTTTACAGTTTTCTTCTTGGATTCATTTGCTGTTTGTTCCTCTTTATATTTGTCTGTCTAGAGCCCTGCCCCGTTTTAATGTCCATGACTCCCGGCCAGGCTATTTCTGGTATGCGTAGCATAGTTGTTCCTACAGTTAAGTTACTTGTTCTGTACATAACTCATATCTATACACTGCTTGCTCAGAAATTAGAGCAAAAATTCTAATTAACAATATTAAGGAAATACAAGAGAATCATAGCCTATAATCTCTGGCTTCAAGGAGTTTGTATCAGTAGTTAAATTAGACTCAAATTATGAAAAGTAAGATGTTTAAATATTTAGTATTAAGTCATCAAGGAATACATGATTAATATAAACTGTAGGGACAGTGACAACTTTGGGATTTAGAGAAAGGAGTGATTCACTTTAATAAGGTTTGGGAGAATTATTGGACTTGTGGAATATAAAATGAATAAAAGTTTTTTAAAGATTTTATTTTTAAAAAAGGATTTATTTATGCATACAAGAATTAGTTAGGGTACAGGCCAGAGGTGGCGGGGGGTGAGAGGATTCACCAGAGTCAGAGAGGGGAGCAGAACAGGCAGATTAACTAAAATATACTGCTGAGGGGAGCAACGGGCTGGACAGGAGAGGTCTGCCATGCCATGTGGGTCAGCTCCCTGGCTAGGGATTAAACTTGCGCTGCAGTGGCTACAAATGGTTTCATAGTGCTGTGCTTTAACCCCTTGTACCACCAAGGAAGACCCAAAAAATATTTATTTTTGTCTACAAGAACTAGGGTACAGGCCAGAGGTGTGGGGGGTGAGAGGATTCACCAGAGACAGGCAGCAGCACAGGTGAATCTACTGAAATGCACTGCTGAGGGCAGCCATGTGGGTCAGCTCCTTGCCAGGGAGGGTAATCAAACTCCTGCCACAGTGGCTGGTGCTAGCTTGATAATACTGAGATTTTAACCCCTGAGCCACCAAGGAGGCCCCACAATGAATCAATTTTGAGTAAGAGAGAGATTAAGCCAGATTGCTTGGAGATGAGTTTCACAGTGCTTTGCCCTTTAAATTTTTCTTTAAAAAGTTTTTATAGGAACTAATTCTTTTAAATTATATTTCTATCCATTATAGAAAGCATTTTACCTATCAGTTTTCTTCAACTTTCTGTCTTATGTTTTTGTTACAGGCATCCTGATTTTCAGTTGCTACAGGAAGGACAAAGGTATGATTGAATCAGTATCACCTACCTTCTATATATTCATGTTAATAGACACATTAAGAGTAAACCAGGTGGTATGAGCTCTTGAACTTCCTGTGCTAATGCATTATGTAAGTGCCCATTCTAGCCCACACAATGAAATATTTGCCTTGTACAGCTTTTTCTTTTGTGTTGGTAAGATGATGGTTTTGTCTTGTGTGATTTATGTACAGCTGTTCCTATCAAGAAAATCTAATTGAATGTGTTGAAATATACAAACACTGTCCTTACAATACTGTCCTTCTTTGTCAACTAGGTTATACCAATTACATTTGCTGAAAGGTTTTTGTAGTCTTTTTTACAGGATTTCAAAGCAATGTGTCATATATTTGAAAGCGTGTCTGACGTACTAATGAAATCTCAAGTTGTCATTTTTTTCCCTAAATTTGTGTTGTTTACCCAACCACAACCATCTCTCAAAATATACCATTTTATCTTCCAAAGTAAACTTGCTAATTACTACCTCAGTTACATGACATTGGGCACACGTGAGAGATTATTCATTGATATATATGTTTATAATTTATACTTCAAAGTATATGAAAGTTGAATTGTTCTGATTTTTTTAAAAATAAATTTGTTTACTTCAGAGACAAGTGACAGACCATGGCTATTAAAACTAGATTCTTAACTAAAAAATGACATCTAATACCAAAAAAATTTATCGTCTTTTCTCCATTCCCATGTACAACCTTAGTTTTAACTGTTTTTCATCTTTAAAGATTTTTTAGTTACTTATGCATATGAGTGTGTGGGCCAGAAGTGGCAGGGGGTGTAAGAGGATTCACCAGAGATACAGGGGGAGTAGAACAGGTAGATCTACTGATATACACTGAGATTTTAACCCCTGAGCCACCAAGGAGGCCCCAAAATGAATAAATTTTGAGTAAGAGAGAGATTAAGCCAGATTGCTTGGGGATGAGTTTCACAATGCTTTGCAGTGGGCAAAATAGGAGAGGTCTTTTGCACCTTATGTGGGTCAGCTCCTAGGCCAGGAATCAGACTCACGTCATAACAATGATAGCACTGAGACTTAACCCAAAGGCCTCCAGGGATGCCCCCAGTTGTTCTTTTAGGATTTCCCTCTCCACCCCCAGCATGCTGTCCTTTTTGGGACTATAGGGAAGGTATAGCATTGCTTTGCTTTTTAAATTTAGTTGGTTTTTTTGGGAAATAATTTCAGTATTATAGAAAAATTGCATGGTAAGCAGTTTGCATATTTCCTTTCACCATTAACCCATCATGTGCTTCTTGATCCAGAATCCTGCTCATCCTGATCTTTTAAAAGTTCTGGTTATCTGTATTTGTTTAAGAGTAACTACTCGGGGCCCTCCCTGGTGGTGCAGCAGGTTAAAGCACAGCACTACGAAGCTAAAGCTGCTTCAGCATGAGTTAATTCCTGGCCAGGGAGCTGGCCAACGTGGAGTGGCAGGCTTCTGACCCACCCCCTGCTCCCCTCAGCAGTGTACTTTGTAGTCAGTCAGCCTGTTCTACTCCCCACTCTGTCTCTGCTGAATCCTCTCACTGCCCCTGCATGTGTGGCCTGTACCCCAGTTCTGGATGCATAAATAAGTTTGTTTTTTTTTTTTTAAAGTAACAACTCACCTATCTCAATTTGTAAATAAAGTGAAGCCTAAATTTTCCTTATACACTTTCATAATTAACTTTTTTTTTTAAAGATTTATTTGTTCATACAGAAATGGGGTGCAGGCCAGAGGCTCACGGGTGATGAGAGGCTTCACTAGACACAGAGTGGAAAGCAGAACAGGCAGATCTACAAAGTACACTGCTGAGGGGAGCAGTGGGTGCGCCAGGAGAGGCCTGCCGCTCCATGTGGTCACCTCCAGGGCAGGCGGGAATCGAACTCATGCAAAAGTGGCTTTAGCTTCTCAGTGCTGTGCTTTAACCCGCTGCGCCACCAGGGAGGGCCATAATTAACTTTTTTAAACCTAATCTGAAAATTAAAAAAACATAGTCAAAGGCAGAAATACATCTTTTATTAGTAGTATTCTATTGTAACTGAGTTTTGAAATGTAAATATCTTGCACTGATAATTGTTGATTTGCCAACTGTCTTTTCCACTATAACTTCAGTTTTTTTACTTCATATATGGAATTTTCTGTTAAATTATCAACCACAATTGGAAAATGTTTAAATATCTTTTTATCTTTCAGAACCTAAATAGAGTTCCTGTAATATAGTTTTTTGAGAAGCCAGTAATGAGATTTTCAAAAGATAACCTTTTTTTCCAAAAGAATATGTAAAAGTCACAGAAATAGACTAAGCAAAAACCAAAATAATGCAATAAAATTATCATTTTTTTTCCTATAAGCTCTTTGAAACTTAAAATATTTGGGGAAAAAGACAATGGGAGAACCATTTCAAATAAAATATAGAGAAATTACAGAATTATAGCTATCTGAGAGAGAGAGTATGTGTGTGTGTGTGTATCCATGTTTATTGATTATGGGAATAAAAATTACCTTGAAAAAATTACAAAATACAAATACTCTTAAGACATTTTGCTTTTCTGTTACAGTTTTTTTTTTCCTTCCTTCTACAGTGGCCATTCTGGAGAAGAAGTACAGTTATGCACGAAGGCCATTGAAACATCAGATATCGACAATTTTGGCCATTTTGTGAAGCATTATGATTCTACTTCTTCTAACACTCATAGTGACAGTAGCAGTGATAATGAACAAGACTTTGTTTCTTCCATTCGAGCAGGAAACAGACCAAATGCAATGTGTATTAAGCCACAGCTGCACAAAAAAGGCATAATGATAAAGAAAGCAAGTCAAAAAGCTAACTCCAACTGTGAAGACAAAGAACAGACAATAGTAGGTGTCACTGAGCAGTTAGATAATTGCAGGCTAGACAGTCCAGAAAAAGCAGCTACTTACGAATTTCCCTTGCAGAAAGTAAATAGTCAGATTTCTTCACATAATCTTTTGCAAGAAAAATTAGAAGCTTCAGAAATTTCTGAAAATAAATACAATAGTTCAAAAATAACACTAGTAGGTATAAGTAAGAAAAGTGCTGAGCATTTTAAGAGGAAATTTGCCAGATCAAATCAAGTTTCTAGGGTAGCTTTTAGTTCATTGCAGGTGTGTCCTGAAGTTGCAAAGAAAAACTTACTGAAAGCCCTGAAGGAGACTTTGATTGAGTGGAAAACAGAAGAAACTTTGAGGTTTTTGCATGGCCAAAATTATGCTTTTGTGTGTCTGGCACCCTCTTCAGCCCCTCTAGTTAAAGAAGAACTTGATGAAGATGATGTAAACTCTGACTTCGATAGTCATTCCCCTGCCTTGAAGGAATCTCTGAACAGCTTGGATGAGTCTTTACCTTTTAAAGCCTCCGATACAGCTATTAAACCACTGCCAAGTTATGAAAACTTGAAAAAAGAAACTGAAACATTAAATCTGAGGATCAGGGAGTTTTATAGAGGACAATATGTATTGAATGAAGAAAACACCAAATCACAAAACTCAGAAAAGGTATGTCTTAGTGATAAATTGGGATAACTATTTTTCAAGTAAGCTGAAGTTTGCCCCCGAAAATGTTCATAAGTATAAAATTTCTCTCTACTATAGAAATAGTAATAATTATGGGACAAAGTTTCTAGATTTTAAAAATCTAGTCCTATATATAATACCTAGAGTCTCTGAAGGAGGCTATTTTTATTTGTTGATATATAAATATATATATCCTTTCAGATCTATAAATATATATATATATATATATATATATCCTTTCAGATCTCTACATAGGATGTGTATCTGTTTAATTTCCAATAGGACCATATATATATATATATATATATATATATATATATATATATATATATAGTAGATTTGTTAACTGAATAATAAATGTCTGGATATTTAAAATATAAATGACAATGATCTAGTAAAGAGGACTTATTAAGAAATAATAAACCTAGGAGAAAAAGAAAAGAGCATATCAGGTAGATTTAGCTTTGAATATCTGTTCTCGTTGACTAGATACATGGAAAGTTAGTCTCTTGGGTCTAATCACTCACATTTAAATGGTACTATAAATAGCTTCTCTTGGTCATTGTTATGAGCTTTATAGATAATATATGTAAAACATATATCTCAGGGCCTGGCATTACTTTGTTATATGAAGATACTGAGTATATGCCACTGTGATTTAGGGACTTTCAGTATTTCTAGTACCAATTTTGGTTGCTGTGTAGTCTGGGAAATGAAGTCATTTGGTGTGAACAGGAGTAGCTGATAACGTTTTTACCACAAATCTTTGCTACTAAAGATTTCTGAGTAAGTGTGGCTCAGAATTTAAGAATACATTTGAAGATTTATCAAGAGAGTGAAAGTGGAAATATAGTAAAAATTGAGATATTTAAGAAATGTTATCTATTCCAGCACTATATTGAAAATCACTTCAACTGCCTATTAGATAGAATCCATTAACTTTTATATTCATTGTGGTAAAACCCTGACCTGTCACTTAACTGCTATAAACCTACCTTAGTAGATCACTTGTTTTGCCAATTTTGTGCTTATAAACTTTAATCCCTGAGATATGACTGTTCCCTCTTATGTAACATACATATCATGTTCATAGCTCACTGAATCACAAATGAATGTATTTCTGTGATCTCCACCCAGGCCCCAAAATTTGAGTAAACTAGAAACCTCAACTTTGTCTCTTCCTAACCATTATCTCATTCCAAAATTAAGATTATTATAATATAGATGAATTTTGTCTTGAACTATGAGTATATGGATTTGCATAGTTTCTTTGATTTCTAATCTATCTCATGTAACACATTATGTTTGGAAGTAATTTATATTGCATATAGCTATAGTTCATTCATTGCATAATACTCTTTTATATAAATAGACCACAATTTATGTTAAAGAGAACCTAGGCTATTTTTTGTCTGAGGCTATTATGAACTCTGTTATTACGAACATTCTTATATACATCTTTCTCTTCTATATGTTTGTTTTCTAATATGCTTGCATTTCATTTGGCTATTCAAAAGTAGGTGACTCGAGGATTAAAATTAGAATATAAATATATTATGGGAAATTCTACTTCTAGAAACTGGACACAAGATAACCCAAGCCACCTCTCCTGCTGAAAATGAAAAAGATAGGGAAAAAAACCCAGCTTTTTTGAAAGCAGTAAGAATTGGGGCCTGAGATTCTGGACAAGGCAACTCTAGAGAAAGCACTGACTAATTCTAGCAGAGGCAGTTTAGATACTGAGAACCTCAGCATTCTTTTCTAATAAACATTCAAGTTTGGGGTGTGCCAAGAAGGAAAGGATATTGGCAACCCTTCCACACACCTTAGAATGACCATACTAAGGCTGGCTCTTAACAGGGTCACTAAAACCCGCTTTTAAATCATCTGAACCCCTGATTGGGCTAATTGATTTGGGACTGCTACAAATTATCTGCCAGAGGCAAACATAAATCCATGCTAGAGAAAGATAACATCAGTCTAGGTCTCAAGTTATCTCTGTAATTTTTCATATACAATGTTTGCTATATCATAATAAAACAATAAAAAAGACAATATGATAAAAATCTCAAACACTAGCCCATAGAAATCAGCCTCTAAGGAAATTGAGATAATGACACTATCAGCTTATTTAATGTAACTATGCTGAATATATTCAGATTAAATGACAAGATTGAAAATTTCAACAGAGAACTAAAAATCCTAGATTGATTTTTGCAATGAAATAAAAACTCTCAGACTGAAAAATGTGTTATTGATAAGTAGGAAATCAATGTATAAGTTTAATAAAAGAGTGAAAATGAATACTGGTTTGGTAAATATCCAGAAATTTGTACACAACTTCCAGCAACACCCACTCCCACATATAATGCAAAACACAAAATAACGAGACTTAAGAAGTCACAGAGAAAAAGATAGCTACCTCTGTAATAGAGTACTAGGTAGAGAGGAAAGGAGGAGTTGGAAAAAAACAATAGCTGAAGAAATAATAGCTTAGAATACTCCAAAATAGCACTTAGAAGTTTATGAAGTTCTTCACTCCACCTATGTTTTCATTTAATAAAGAAGGCATTAGTAGCCTTACTATAAAGATAAAGCAGTTTAGAAAGGACAGAGGATCAACAGATTCACATCAGTGTAATGACTGAGTGCTTATTCAAATTTAAATCTTCTACTTCTCAAATCTGGTTTTTATTCTGATGTATCATACATCTAAACTTTTGTGTTTTAATGTTTATTATTCTTGTCAAAGAAAGAATGTATATTTATTGCTTTTTGTTTTGTTCAAAAATGTGATTCAGCATGATCCCACCTTTCCACTGATAGACTCAAGTTCTCAGAACCAGATCAGAAAACGCATTGTACTTGAAAAATTGAGTAAAGTGTAAGTATGAATTGTCGTTTTACTGTTACAGTATTTTTAAACTAACTTGGCAGTTATGGGTTCATAATTTATATATATTATCCTTGAATTTTGAACATTTGAAAAATACTGTTTAAAGTTGACATGAATTTCTTGAGAAATCTAGATTTTTAGGATATTTAACCAAGGAATATCATGTTTTATGTAGAAGCACAGACACATAAGAGGAAAATTGACAATATGGAAGTAGAAAACCAGAGTACCTCACTTCCACTTAATAAATTAAGGAAAAAATAATAAATCAGTGAAAACAGAAAAAAAATATCAAACTGAACTCATTTAAATACTGACTTGTGGTAAATGTGTCACATTAGTTTCACATGTGAATAAAACTTGGTAAAGTAGTAATGGTCTATGCACTCCTTTGTGTGCATATTCAGATACATGTCACACTCAGCAACTTGATTTTTGTTCAACTCAACTTTTCACTCCAGTTTTAAGCTTTCCGTGGTGGAAATTATTTTTCTTGTAATTAGCCTAGTCATAAATGACATTTTAAAATTGCAGTCTTAGTTTCTCTTTCAAAAGGTGCTTGAAAATCTTTTTTTCTGAGGGTGTCAGAGCTGTCTTGAACTTTTCAACTTACATTTTCTCTCTTTAGCAGTAAAGATAGGAAGGTGTTTTCATATTGTTTAAGATGTTGCACTTATAGAGAGGTTTTGTAATAGTTCAAAAATTTTTTAAAATACATTTTCTGAAAGTTGAAATATTTTGAGGTGATTAAGTCTAAATTTTATATTATTTTATGTTATTTAGTGAGTGCATGTTATTCGTTGAAGTCTTTCTTTTTTAAAGACTTATTTATGCATGCAGAGCTGGGGTACAGGCCAAAAGCAGGTACAGGGGCTATGAGAGGCTATGAGAGGGGTACAGACCAAAAGCAGGTACAGAGACAGAGTGGGGAGCAGAACAAGCAGATGGGTGAAGTACAATTGCTGAGGGGAGCAGTGGGCAAGACAGGAGAGGTCTGCTGCACCATGTGGATCACCTCCAGGGCTGGGGATCAAACTCGCACTGAAGCAGCTACAGCTAGTTTACAGTGCTGTGCCCTAACCCATTGTGCCACCAGGGAGGGCCCTGTTGAAGTCTTAATATATTATAACTATTATATTGCCTTTTACCTGCTCCTCATACTTTGTATTTGTTTCTGTTAACTGTTAGTTTAGGACACAGTGTAAGTGATACACTCTCATACTTATGGGACAAGAATCTAGATCCATACTTGTTTTAGTTGCACAGATTTTGAAAGTTGGAATGGATTGTTTATATTGGTATGTAGTCAGTAGATAGGGATTTATATGAAAATAGTTTTCTAGACTTTTTAGTTAATGTTAGTACCCAGTTGTAAATTTAAAACAAGACTTCAAAATAAGTTTCAGAATGGTAGTTTTTAAGTACTCTATTCTGTATATGCCCAAGTATAATCCACTAAAGTCTGTCATTTCATTAGATAAAAAAAAACTCAGTATTTATTTTTAAAAAAGTGATTTTTATTACCAAATTCCTAATAATTTGGAAATTTTCTTATTTACAAAAATCAGAAAATGTGGTTTCATTAGTATAGCAAAAGAGACATTTTTCTTTAATATAGGAAACTTCTTGGGATGCTCAAATAAAAGTTTTACAGTTTTTCTGTTAAATTTGCAAGTCCCCTTTCTACAAATTATATTGATGTCAGCATACATAGAAATTATAATGCCATTAAAATATGTGTGTATTTCTGGGCTTTTTCATCCCTCTCTCACCCCTTCAGCAACAGTTATTAATTTGGTTAGCTGGTGATTTTACTGAAGTTACATAAGAAAATGCTACTGTATTTAGAGATAATAAGGAAATAGGGGTCAAATAACATGATATCAGGGATTTACTTGAAAATATTACTGCAAAAAGGGAGAAAGGAAGGAAAAATTAGGTAAATATAACAGAATATTAGAAGTGGAACCTAGGAATAGATAGATGAGGTTATTATTACTATTCTATTTTGGTACATGGTTGAATAACCAATAATCCCATCACCTCAATAATTTCTATTTTGATGTTCATCCCTGATGCATATGTGATATACATGGTGTATATATATTCATCCCTTTTGGTTTCCTCTCTTACACTATGAACCCAGAAGAAATGAAGTGTTTGCTACATTATGAATTTCATACAATAGCATTATATATTTTGTCTTAGCATTAACATCTTAACATTTATTATATTTTTCCATATTAAAAAAGATTCAGCTTATACTTTTAAAATATTTTTTACATTCTATTACATGGGTATGTCATAATTTAACCAGTGACCTACAATGGGCATTCATTTCCAGTTTTTCATTGTTAAAAATATTTCTCCAATCTTTTATTATGTTTACCTGATTTATTCTTTAGTGTAGTTTTTTATTGTGAAACTGTTGATAAAGAAGTAACCACATTTAACATGTTTATACTGTCAAACTTCTCTCCAGAAATGTTCCTGTTTCTACTTCTACCATAAGGATTTAATAGGACTGTTGTAGGGTAATTTATCTGACCTTGCATTCTTCACATTTACCTAATACTTGAAAGTAAAGAGATTAAAAAACTAAAACAAAAATAACGAAAGATAAGAACATAATAGATAGTAGTCACGCTGATATTCTTGCATTTCCATGCTTCACACTGTAGCATGGAATACAAAATTAAGTATGGGATAGTATAAAATGTTTACACAAGTAATTTATCTATATGAGTAAATTATATTTTAAAAATTAATTTTTAATTTTCAGATTGCCTGGACTTCTAGGGCCTCTTCAGATAACACCAGGAGATATTTACACACAACTTAAAGAACTTGTTAGAACATTCAGGTTAGTATTAATATTGTGATTTTTCCTTCACTTATTTTGACTTAGTGTGATAGCCCTGAAGAATCCATAGTTAGACTAAGGCGTGAAGAAAGTGACACTCTCCATCCAGTGCCTTTCATCTACATGTAGTGCCTTTTTTTCTCCACTCAACAGCATTACTTATTTTTTGTTAATTGTAGCCTTTATTTGCTCAAACCTCGGTATTACTAGCTTTGAATAGTTTATTTATGGAAATGCCTGAAGATGGAAAATGATAATCTGAGGCACAAAAAACATTGACCAGTAGTGTCTTGGGTTTTAGTGAATCAGTAAATATCACCTGACCAACATTGTGCTAGGCACTAAGGACAGTGCAGAAGAAGCCACAGTGTTCATCCTCAAGGAAGAACTCTCTTGTTAGAAGAAAATCTGGACAGTGAAGAGCAGAAAAAGTAGTAAATTTAATATTGAGAGGTGTGGGAGAGACTGAAATGGCAGAGTACAAAGAAAGGTAGTATAGAGAATATCAGTTATGAATAGAGCAACTGATTTTTTTTTTTTTAATTATCAAAGTAAATATTCAATCAGGCTAAGACCAGGTTCTTTACTAAGAAGCATAGGGGAAGACGGCCTCTAAATACCTTATTAGTAGAGATGTATTGTATAAAATAAACATTTTGGCCAAATGCTAAAATTAAAGAAGCTAGGAAGTACCAACATGGAATGAACTTCTAAGGTAGCAGAATCATCAAAAAAATTAATTACTGTAATTTATTGTCAACAGCAGTGTAAGACTTAAAAGTTTAAAATGATAGTACAGGAACAATTTTTTGGCATTATGAGCTATTACATTTCTTTGGCAGTCACTGTACTGTACCAAATTGACATTCACTTTCAACTAACACATTTAAAAGCATCATTAAACTTTTGCTGTGCCACACAGTAATTCAGGAAAACATTTTCAATAAAGTATAGGTGGAACAAGGTAGAGGTCATAGTTTACACCACTCTCAAAATTCATCTTCGGTAACTGAAAAAGATACTTTTTTTCATGATTAATACTGTATTTAATTTTTTTTAAGAGTATGCATATAAAAACTGGGGTACAGGCCAGAGGTGCAGGGGTGAGAGGATTTACCAGAGACAGAGTGGAGAGAATAGGCAGATCCGCTGAAATACACTGCTGAGATGGGAGCAGTGGCTGAGATCAGGAAAGGTCTGCTCCATGTGGGTCACCTTTGTGGCAGGGCAGATAGCTCATGCTGCAGTGCTGCAGATAGCTTCATAGTGCTGTGTTTTAACCTGTTGTGCCACCCTGTATTTAATTTTTGTTGAGGTTTGTGATTGAGAGGTATAGGATCTTCCCCTTCAGGTGTTGTTATACACCACACCCACCATCAAAACACCCATAGTCTATTATAGTCCACTGTGCATCCTCCCCATTTTGCTTTCTCCTCTCCTCCCCTTCTAATAACCTCAGTCCTACAGTCAAATTTCTAGTCTTTATACTGGTTTAACTTCACCCGTTATTATTCTTGCTCTAAGTAAGTGGAATGTATGTGACACTATCTGTTACCTGTTCTCCTTGTGACTTATTTTGCTGAGTATAATCCCCTCCATTTCTATCTATGTTGTTGCAAGAGTTTATCTCTCTTGATAGCTGAGTAGTAGTCCATTGTGTGTACATAACACTTCTTTTTGACCCACTCATCTGTATTTTGACGTTTTGGTGGTTTCCATAGCTTAGCTATTGTAAGTAGTGCTGCAGTGACTATAGGTGTGCATATATCCATCAAAGTAGTGCTGCTGTATTCTTTGGTTAGATAACCTGGGAGTAGAATTTCTGAGTCATACAGTGGATCCATTTTAAATACTTTGAGATAGCTCCATACTGTTTTCCATAAGGGCCAGACCAGTCTACGTTCCCACCAGCAGTGTATAGAGTTCTTTTCCACCATCATATCCTCACCATCACTTGTGGCCTTTTGCATATGGGCCATTTTCACATGTGTTATCTCATGGCTTTGATTTGCATTTCCCTAATGATAAGTGATAACAATCATTTGCCTTTGGCTATCTGTCTCTTCTTTGGAGAAGTGCCTATTTAGCTTTTCTGCCCATTTTTTTTATTGGATTAGTAATTCTCTTTTTGTTGAGTTGTATGAGCTCCTTATAAATCTTGGATATCAGCCCTTTATTGGATATATGGTATGCAAAGATTTTCTCCTATTTGGTAGGGTGTCTTTGTTTTAATGATAGTTTCTTTTGCTGTGCAGAAGCTTTATAGTTTGAACAGTCCCAATTATTTATATTCTTTTTTTTTTGGCGTTGAATGCAAATCTACAGCAATAAAAAGATCATTTTTGACACTTTAAATATGAAGCCTTCATAGACTCAAATTAGTAGAATTGTTTTAATACAATCTTGTAATCTTTTAAAGTTTAATTAAGCAAAATGTGGTTGGAGTACCAGTTTCAACATTTCTTTATTTCAATCTCTAATGAAAGATCATATTTTGACTTTTATATATCTGTTTACATAATTAAGATTTTTTTCCAACTCTCATTTTGAGGTGACAGTGTTACTGTTTTTTCTTGAAAGATTTATGACTTGACATAAATAAAATTTAAATACCATTCTTGTTACTTTCTTTAATTTTTTTTTGAATCTTGCTATGTAATCCATTCTGAAAGATGAAATTACAATAAAATGTAATCTTATTTTTATATGAAACATTTTTCAAAGATACATTAAAAAAGTAATGTATTTAGTATTTGTATTAAATATAAACCTATTACTATATAATTAAAGATTTTTACTAATTGTTATTAACATAAAATTTTCACAACTACATCTTCTACTGACTAATAAAACACATAAAATTAAGTACATGGCATTGTCACCCTATTTCATCTGTAATGTTTAAATTTGAAAATGTTTAGGTAATAACCAGTAAGTCTAGCTGATGTGATCATTCTTTATTGCATGGAGAATGGAATCACAAGATATGACCACACAAGTTTAGGAAAACCAGAAAAGATGCTTCGATTGACTTAGACCTTTTGAAAACTAATGAATGCATTGCCTAAAAGAAGATTTGGGCTAGATACCAAGACTAAAGCCCAGCTCTGTGTGCCTATTAATGATGAAGAGAGAGAGTTGTAATTTAGGTGCTCCCTCTTATACCTATCACAGGAATATGCCTCAAAGGAAAAAGTGAGTTTTTTACAACTGTTTGAGTGATAAAGCTTCTGTAGGTATGCACAATGTGGAAGCGCTGATGTTAGGGGTTTTTTCAGGATTGATTAGAATGTGAATCATCATATTAGCAGAAAGGTTAGCCAAGGGAATATGAAAGCCAGATGGTACTGTCTCATTGATTTTTTTTTTTAATATTTATTTATGCTTACAAGAATGGGGGTACAGACCAGAGGTTTGAGGGGTGAGTGGGTTCACCAGAGATAGAGTGGGAAGCAGAACTACTGAAATACACTTCTGAGGGGAGCAGTGGGTGGGTCAGGAGAGGTCTGCTGAGCCATGTGAGTCACCTCCCTGACAGTGAATTGAACTAAATGCTGCACTGCAGTGGCTTTGGAAAGCTTCATAGTGTTGTGCTTTAACTTGTTGTGCCACCAAGGAGGGCCTGTCTCATTGATTTTTAAAGGACTTGCCAGTTTCTTGAAGACAGTGTTTTATTTAATCACCATTCTAAGCAAACTGGTAAAATCACTGAAAACATCTCAAAGATACTAGAATAAAACCTGTTGATTTTGAACAATAGATAGAATTTTGTATTTTTTCTTTGCCCTGCACATTTAGATTAAAAAGTTATTTAGTTTACATTTACTACATTTCCTAGTTATTTTTCATTAGCTCTAACTTATAAAAAAAAAGTTTAAAAAAAATTCTGAGGTTCTCTTAATTTACTAGAAACCCATTAGAAATGTTAGGCTATAACTGCGTTATTACTATCAGTATGTTTTATGATTTTAGTTATTTCAAGTTTGATACCACTGTCCAAGTTGGTTGTTTTCTAATATTACTTATTTATGCATAGAGAATTGGAGTCCAGGCCAGAGGTACAGGGGCGGTGAGAGGATTCACCAGAGGCAGAGTGGGCAGCAGACAGGTAGAGCCACTGAAATACACTGCTAAGGGGAGCAGTGGGCAGGTCAGGAGAGGTCTGCTGTGCCGTGTGGGTCACCTCCAGGGCAGGGATCAAACTGGCACTGAAGTGGCTGTGGCCAGCTTGTAGTGCTTCATCCTAACCCGTTGCCAGGGAAGGCCCAGATTTTTTTTTAAAGATTTATTTAGTTATACATAGAAGAACTTGGGTGTATGCCAGAAGTGTGTAGGATAAGAGGATTCATTACAGACAGAATGGGAAGCAGAACAGGCAGATCTACTGAAATACACTGCAGGGGGAGAAGCAGCAGGTGACATAGGTGAAGTCTGCTGCTCCATGTGGGTCAGTTCCCTGGTCCAGTAGGGAACTCATGTTGCAGTGGCTAGTGATAGATTGATAGTGTTGTATCTTTAACACCTGCACGAGCAGGGAGAACCCTGTTTTTTAATAGTTTAATAGTAGTTCTCACTGGTGTGGAGGTTTTTGCTCATTGTGGTTTTGATTTGCATTTCCCTGATAAATTAGTGATGTTGTTATACTATTGACTCTTTTTTACCAAATTTTAAAATTTTTAAATGATGCAATTTCACACATGTCATGAATCTAATTTTATATAAAATTAGGTTAACTTACCAAATTTTAACTGTCTTTCAGATTAACGAACAGAAATATCATACACAAACCGGCAGAGTGGACCTTAATTGCTCTGGTGTTGCTGTCACTGTAAGTACACTTTCAGATTTTAACTCTGTGCTAAATCTGAAGAGTTTTGATTAGGGAAAGTTATTTGTTGATTTTGTAAACTTTCTTATACCTTTGTTCTATGGCTTATTTGTCTTTTCCATATCATGAAATAATTTTCATGTGAAGTGAAATGTAGTGTTTTGATAGGTTATAATCATTTTGCATTATACCATCTTTTATTTTTTTTCCCAACTACCCTCTCTTATATCCCCAAAAACCCTTTCTCCCTCTGCCTTCCTTTTAGTCTCAGAAACTCAACTCCTTTTATTAACATCCATTGTTTTTTTTAAGTATTTGTCATGTCATCCACTGTGTAAATGTTCAGTATTTTTGTCATTTTGACTTGCTTTATTGTACAATATTCCATTGAACTCCTTCCATTTTGTTCCAAATGCAAGATTTCATATATTGTTAATGCTTGAAAAATGGTTCATTGTGTGGATATACCACATTCTTGATCCAGTTCTCTTTCAGTGGGAATATAGGTAATTTCTTTGTCCCAGTTATTATAAATAGCGCCGCAGTAAACCTTATATAAAGCATATCAGTTTTGGGGTTGAACATTGATTGGATAGATGCCCAAGAGTGGGATTGCTAGGTTATACAGTATTTCCAGTTTATTTTAAGTATTTCCATTTTATGTTTTTTTTTTTTAAAGATTTATTTATTTGTGCATACAGAACTGGGGTACAGGCCTGAGGTGCCAGGGGTGAGAGGATTCACCAGAGACAGAGAGGGGAGCAGAACAGGCTGACTGACGAAGTACACTGCTGAGGGGAGCAGCAGGCGGGTCAGGAGAGGTCTGCAGCCCCATGTGGGTCACCTC